GCGCCCCCTTGCCCCGCCAGTTATGAGGGCTACTTTACCGTGTAGCTTTCGGCTGCATATTCATATATATATATATATATGTATATGTATCAACCTCCTAACTTGTGTATTTATGTATGTGAATATCTATATCTATATATATAGAGATCTCTTGAGAGAGAGAGAGAGAGACAGGAACAGGCCTGGTACAAGCGCCGTCGCCAACCGTGGAGCAAAACCTCGTACGGATGTTACTCTGAAGATCAGCAATGGCGGTTCGGAGGGCACACGCTCTTGTCAACGATGATCTTCCATGGCTTTTTCAGACGTATAATAATTAGATACGAGAAACGATCGAGTGAATTGTAATAATTTCATTATAAAGGAACCACACGTAAACTTGGAATGTGATTAAAAAAAAAGAAGATGGTAATAATTTTACCTGGAGAGAGATCTGACAGCGGCCATGGTCGAACCCAACACACAAAAACGAAGGGATAGAAATGCTTCGTTCGGATATCAAGGAGGTATTTATTGGCTGAATTTAATATAATAATAATATTAATATTCGGACAAAGACAAGAGAAAAAGGACCGGTCTCATTGACGACCCACGTGCATCACCATTTCCTCAAAAAAAATATGATTATTGTGGGTGTCCAAAGCCAAAACCTAAGCCCTTGATAAAGCTGACCAAAGGAGCAGGGATGACCTAGTGCCACGACCCATGAATTTGATGTGTTGTCGGAAGATAAAGTTGGGTCCATGTTTTGGATTATCTGTTAGCGAAAACTCAAGAAAAGACGATGGATACATGAATTCATACGTATCTGTATAAGTTTGACGTATTCAATTTTATCTGAAAATATCGTTTTCAACCTACCAAAACATTTTAAATGGCCGTGTAGATTTTTTTGGTGATAAATCCCGATCGTCTGATAATAACTTTCATTCCTAATCTACGATCAATCTATTATCGAAAGACAGATCGATCGATCGCAACTAATTTTTCCGAAGTCACGATCGACCGAGATGATAGATCGACCGTATCCTCTGAATAAATTCATATGAGACCACGGTCGATTTATCGTTCTAGACGATAGAGCGGCTATACTTTCTAAACATTTTTATGTCATACACGATCGCGATCGATTGATCGTCAACACAAATTTTGTTTTTTCTTCAAAATCCATTCTACTTCCCGATAACTCACATTTTAAACCAATTTATTACGTATCATTTACAAGTATTCAACTCTTTCATTACTCCACCTAGGTTCAAACCACACCCTTGACAAATCACATATTATCAAAAAAAAAATAGTCGTAATGTACATGTAAATAAATCTAATTACTAATTAAAAACTAATCAATCTAGTACTCTAAAATATTCAACATTGTATCAGAATAATCAATCCGAATTATCCATAGGTAGTCAAACAGAATACAAATATAATATAAAACGTGATTGGTTATAATTTTTCTGAAAATAAATTAATATTTAATTATTATAAAAATTAATCCTTAAATAGGACAACATAGCTTTTAAAAGTTTAAAGATTTTAATTTATATCATATTTACAAAATTCACAGAACACCAAAAATCTAAAACCAAGAAAATAATAATAAGACCCAATAAAGAATCGCGTTAAGATTACGTTGGGCCCGAGAAGTCCATCTGCGAATAAATTCGGCCTACAAACTGTAAATAATTAAATATGTAATCTTTTATGCAGTTTTTCCTGTGAAAATATTTAGTTAATTTATCTCCTAGACAATATGAGATTATAATTATATTTTACAACGACTACATTTATATATTTCATGCACATCCGAATTTTATCCGACAAAACTTGCATATATTCGATGAATTTTCAGAAAATACAAGTGTGACATTGATAATTACAATTTAATATTTTTCTTTGACTACTGGATTAGCAGATAATTATCGTTGCAAGGAGTTGCATGGCGGACACGCGTGCATGGATTAGAAGAGATAGAGACAGAGAGAGCAGCCATGATTTTGCAGTGTCATCCGACACAGGCACATGATCATCATCTTCTAAGTTTAACGTTCTCTGTAATAAGAGAGAGAGAGAGGTGGCGAATGACGAATCGGCGGTGAAAGACGGAAAGCAGAAAGAGAGTCACGAGAAGCTCGGGGTGGTGTTGAAGAAGAGGATAAAGGAGTGGTGGGCGTTTGAGTGATATCTCCACCTTCAGTCGTTAGGGTTTTTTTAATTTGAACTCTGAATCTTCATTCTCCCCTTTTCGATTTCGCTTTTTCTTCTGATTTCCCCATTTCATGAGATCCTTGTGACTCTCCCTTCAATGCCCCCCTTTTTAGTCTCTGAAAATTCAAAGTAGATACCCGATTCTCCTCACTTTTTCTCCGCTTGACGTTCAAATTTCCCTCCGCATTTCCCTTTTTCCCTGCAGATTCAGATTCCTCTCTCGTAGGTTTTCTTTTTCCCCGATGGTTTTGGAAGGAAACGGCGTCGTTTGGCTGGGCACCGCCGGAGAACAGCCACCGGAGGAGACCGACGGCGAAGAAGCTGCTTCCTGGACCAGAAACCAAGACGACGGAGGAGATTCTCTCTCACATTTCAAACCCATGCTTGAGGGTGACTGGTTCGCGAACCCACCTCCTCACGATCTCCAGATCCTCCATAACCACCATGACTTCAGATTCCTCGGTGGATTTGCCTTTAACCCACCTGAGAATCTCCTTCTTCAGCAGTCGATTGACTCCTCTTCCTCGTGTTCTCCGTCGCAGGCGTTTAACCTCGACCCTTCACAGCCACCTCAACCATTCTTAACGGCCAAGTCCTGCGTCGCTCCGCACCTCAACGTCCCCTCCGCTAATCCTTTTGACAATGCCTTCGAGTTCGGCTCTGAATCCGGTTTCCTCGGTCAGTTTCATGGGAATCAGGTTCCGAATTCGATGGGTTTCTCCGGATTGATGTCCCAAACCCAGATGGGGAACCCGGGCGTTTAGCCTCGACCCTTCACAGCCATTCTTAGCGGCCAGGTCCTCCGTCGCCTCCCTCCTCAGCGTCCCCTCCACCAACCCTTTTGACAATGCCTTCGAGTTCGGCTCTGAATCCGGTTTCCTCGGTCAGTTTCATGGGAATCAGGTTCCGAATTCGATGGGTTTCTCCGGATTGATGTCCCAAACCCAGATGGGGAACCCGGACTTCAGTTCCGGTACCGATTTTCTCGCTGTACGGTCGTCTCTTCCGCCGCCGGAAAACAACACCGTGTTGTGTGGCGGTGGGTTCAACCCTCTAGAACTGGAGGGCTTCGAGGCCGCCGCGAATGGCGTTTCCGGGAACAGAGCCAAGGTCCTGAAACCGCTAGAGGTATCGGCATCATCGGGCGAGCAGCCGACACTGTTCCAAAAGCGAGCTGCAATGCGTCAGAACCCGGGAAGTAAACTGGGAAGCTCGGAGAATTCAGGAACGAGGAAGCCGGGTGACGAGGAGGAGATGGAGGAGACGGGGATTGAGGTCTCTGGGCTGAATTACGAGTCGGATGAGCTCAACGAGAGCCAAAAGGCCGGTGAGGGTTTTCAGAAGGGTGGAGGAGAGCAAAAGGGTAAGAAGAAGGGCATGCCGGCCAAGAATTTGATGGCCGAGAGGAGGCGGAGGAAGAAGCTCAATGATAGGCTTTACATGCTTAGATCAGTTGTCCCCAAGATCAGCAAAGTAAGATCATTCTTTTCATCCCTTTCTTTTCCAGGGGAAAATAAAGAGTTGAGTTCTTTAACGCATATCTTCTCTTTGACATGTGTTTGGGTGGAAGATTTAGTTGTTGTTTTTTCCAATATGGGTTCTCCTTTATCTTTCTGTACGAATCCTTCTGTTGGATATTTTGGAGAATTATGAGGAGGTTTTGGTTGTGGCTTCAATGTCGGCAGATGGATAGAGCTTCCATACTTGGAGACGCCATTGACTATCTGAAGGAGCTCTTGCAGAGGATCAATGATCTTCACAATGAACTGGATTCAACTCCATCTGGGTCATTGCCTCCGCCTTCCTCAAACTTCCACCCATTGACACCTACCCCTCAGACCCTTCCTTGCCGTGTCAAAGAGGAGTTGTGCCCTTCCTCATTGCCCAGCCCCAAAGGCCAGCCTGCAAGAGTAAAAAAAAAAAGCTTGTATCTTTCTCTTCTGTGTGTGAACAGAAAGTGTTATCCTGTAGCTTGAGATAACCAGAGGAACTCTGCAGGTTGAGGTAAGGTTAAGAGAAGGAAGGGCGGTGAACATACATATGTTCTGTGGACGTAGACCAGGTCTCCTGCTTTCCACCATGACAGCCTTGGACAACCTAGGATTGGATGTCCAACAGGCCGTCATCAGCTGTTTCAACGGCTTCGCCTTAGATGTTTTTCGTGCTGAGGTAAATGCCCCATTACTCTTTATTCCTTAGTACATCCCCATCAGAAAGCAGCTCCCACATTTAGCTTGCCTTTCACCATGGCTATATATACATACTGATAGAAACCATATAAGAGATGATCCCTCGATTAAGCAAGCAAGCTTTTTATAACGGTTCATAGGGGGAGAGAGTCTTTTGACTGAACATCCGTCTCTTTTGTTGCAGCAATGGAAAGAAGGGCAGGACATGTTGCCTGAGCAAATCAAAGCAGTGCTTTTAGATACAGCAGGCTATGCCGATGTGGCTTAGCACAAAGCCCACATGACGCGACGAGCAAGCAACCACCCCATAGGCAGAGAGGCATCAGTGGAGCAGCAAAGATCTAAAGTCGTTTAGTGTTGCAATTTTCTTGCTCAGTTTCATCAATTGAAGAATGTATCATTAAGCTTTGCCTCGACTCTGAAGGTTGGGTTAACATTACATACTCAACCTTTTAGCAATGTATCTTCACGTGCTTTTGTGCATAAGGGAATTAAGATTCTACTTTGACTCGAAGGAAAATTCCGTGAAAAGGAAAAAATCCCATCTCTGGATTATAAAAATTCTAGCATGTGGGCGGCCTATGATCAATTCTTATACGACCAAAGTTCAAAGATGATGAACGTTTTACGTTTTTTTTTAATCACAGGAAGAGATTTTAGACAAGAAATGGATAACCTCGTACTTGGCACTCACGAGAGGCGCAGAATCCACAACGGGGTTCCTAGATATTTTCCCATCCTTTTGGATCCACTTTGTTAGAGATATTTTTGCATACGCATATGGTTCCCCACAATATAAAGCCTCTCACCCAAAAATAACCAAAAGAAATCACCACTTTCTGCCATGGCTAGGCTGGTTTTCTCTAGTGATCAGTTTCAGAGTAAAAAAAAAAACATACATCGAAAAGCAACTTGCCTTTCAGTAGCGTTGAACACTGGTTGTTGATAGGAGCACTCTGGTCGGCTTCTTCCCTCTCTTCCCGGCCCCTTTGATAGTCTCAGCGCCTGGTGGTGTTCTTGATATTGCGTTCACGAATGAGGGTACCCCAGCGTGGTTTCTCTCACCTAAAACATGATTAACTTTTTCCCATAGTTTTCAGATGATTCTAATATGGAAGCCTCTCATGAATAAGAACTTTCACTTCGTAAAACAGTCGAGGAAAAACCTGCAGTGGAGGTTGCTACTTCAATGCTGTTGTTTTGTATGCTTGTCAGCTCGTTTTTCAGGCCGGGAGAATCGTGGCCAGCTACAAAGCCGAGCCTTGTCACGTTTGAGAATGAACTCCTCTCCACAATGCTTGGAGGGCTTGATGATGGTAGAGGGGTAGCATTTCCTAGGGCTAAATAAAAGAAACATGGTTTAGTTTTGAAATGATCAGTCAAACAACATCACGGAGCAACAAGACTCTGCACAGTTCCATGAATTAGCTTTGATAGAATCAGAAGCAAACATCAAGAGGAGCAAGAAGCAATTTGATTTTACCTTCAAAGTCATCCAAGGAGAATGGAGGGAAGTTATTACGAGAGGACTGTCCAAAACTAGCCACCAATGGTGCAAGCTCTACAGCGGCAGCTACTTCAGCCTTGATTTTCTCTTTTTTCTCCTGGGAAGAACACCGTATGACATTCATAGCCATGGAATACTTGGGGTATTTTTGGGTTCTGGCTTTTGCCGGGGTTTGTTCAGATGCAGAAATTCAAGGGTGCTAATCCGTTTTTTGTGATCAACTAGATACAAAGAAAAGAACAAGCAACAAGCCGAGAAAGAAAATGAAGGCCATGCTTCAGACAGTGTGTAAAACTTCTAGTAAAAGCAGAAATCTCGAAGAAACTTGTAAACACGGTAAACATGGTGGAGAACAATATATGGATACCTTCCATGCACGGCTTTTTCTCTGCTTCTCACGCTTCCTGATTTCATCCATAAATGGAGTAAAAGCATCAGGAGACAAAGGATTCTCGCATATCAAGTTCACGGATCTGAAAATATAACCAGAAAGATGCCACAAGGAAAAAAATCAGAGATTAATATCACGAGCAAAAGATGAAACAATCCAGTGGAGATATACCTGGAAGGTAGTCTATCCTCTTTTTCTTTGTCAGAAAAGAACTGTGAAGCATAAAACGACCCTAACTCGCACCTGTGTGGAAGCAAATCATAGCTGCCATGATGATGGAGAAGGCACTTCATGTTCAAAGAGTGAAGGATGATGTGCTGACCATCAACAGACTGGATAGGCATTAATCATAGTAAAAGAACAAAACTGACGAGCATGTCAAATAAGTATACCAACATTTAACAAACAGAAAAACACAGTGCTTCTCATATCAAAGGAACTCGTTTTTTGACAATTTCAAGACGTAGCACGTAGCCAAAAACCAGAGATTTGAAACAGCGAAGTTGTACTCTATGAAAACAATCAGTAGCGATATCCATTAGTCATCAGTCACCTGATAGAAATTGTATGTGTCCCTATCCTTTGGATCTCCAGAGCCACGTTGAGGAGGATAAAGGAGCATCATGGCCTTCTATAGGGTGGGCATCATCACCACTCTTGTCCAAACTAGATTCCCCATCGGACTTATCCACTGAAGCATTCTGCCTTGTGGTTGTCCACACCCATCAGCAGGTACTGTAGAATACATGGGAAACAGAAGATATGCCCGCAAGAGGGTTATCTGCGGACATAAAGGATACTCCAAGCAAATTGGGCATTGCACAGAAGATGGGGTGGAATAGCGGACACATGTTATATCCTCCCAATGCAGCATTGTATCAGGGTCCACTGACTCAGGAGAATGATCTCCTGTGTCCAAGACAACAAACTTGAAATTGGCTTGAAGAAACAAATCCTTCATAATGAAAATTCAGCAAATGGTTCCTACTGATCATATTGGCTCTTCTACCAGTCGGATTGTGATGTGAAGAACTGATAGGTCCTGTATTATGCTAAGTTTGAGAAGAGCCAGAAGCTCCAATGGTTCTCCCTCTGGATCTATGCCTTCCACCATCTGATCGAGTGTGGTCGTGATGTATGCCCGCTCCCTGGCGGGAAAAAGTCTCCTTCCCTGTTCCAATTCCCGTCACCTACAAAGTAGAAGATGATGCAACATAACATAACCATTCAATATATATATATATATATATATATATATATATATATTATACGTCGCCCCTAAGAAGCGGGTGATTCGGGGAGAAAGTGCCAAGTTACCTCTTTGGAAGTTCCACAGATATCTTCCCCAGATATGTTCCATAGAAAAAACATAACTTTCCACGCATGAAGCCAAATTCTTTTGAACAAGCATAACTTTCCCCGGAAAAAACATAACTTTCCGGAACAGATTGAAACAACACCAAATAAAGTCAACACAATTCCCAATCGTCAAACCCAATTCCTCGCCCCTAGAAAGCAAAACCCTAGAAAGCAAAATGGAGCAGGTACGTTGAATGATCCGATTCCGGAGGAGATCCGGGAAAGCAGAGAGAAGAAGAAGAAGAAGAGGCGTTGTCATACTCAGAGCTAGGGTTTAGAGATGGGCCTGGGGATGAGAACGACGACTTGGGACCTTCAGAGTGCGGAGGAGGCAAGATGGACATGAAAAATCTACGGATGAGAGAGGGAAATTCGCCGGCTCGGAGCCACCGCTTCGAAAACTTAACCACGCAGTCGCATGATTTTCTCTTCTTTATACAAACCTGGACCCGGAAACACCCGACCCGGCCGAGGATCCGATTTCTACCTTCCCTTCCCCTGGATGCACGGAATATTTCGAGAATCTACGCTGAAATTACCAATTCGATGGTGCCCCCAATTTGGAAGACGATCCAAACAAGAAGGAAAGTGTCGAACAAACTAATGCAGTCAATGCTTAAACGCCACGAATTGGTATCTGTCTCAAACATTCTCTACTTGTTTTTTTACGGTATTTACAATGTGAATCCCAAAAAAAAAAGAATCGATCTTTATTGATCATACAAACATCCTAACATATCCCAGAACAAAAATGTAAAAAAAGTTTGGTCTTTTGCCCCCAAAAAAAAAGGAGGGTAGATGATAAGTTGAGTTTGATCATCATCATCTCTGAAAGAGACCTTTGATATACACCATGCCTTTCTCACTAAGCTTGAGATCTTTCCTCATCTGCTCAACTTGTTTGATCACCCCTCGGAAACTTCCGGCTGAACAACCGTTGAAAACTTCTGATTACCTTTTCTCGAGGGTATTACCGGACATGATAACGGCGGCGAGAGGAGCTTCGTCGCCATTATCGATTGCCTGAAGATGAAGAGCGGGTGTTGGGGCTGAAAAGGCTTAGCCTTTGTGAGCATGAGTTGATGGGTCTGTCAAAATCGAATAGCCCTCGTTTTTTCTTGCATTCTTATTTACTGGGTCTTAATTTAATTCCTCTAAACAGAATATCTGTTGCATGATTTCGTGAAAAACTTCATAAGTATGTTTTCTCCGAACAGTCAGTGTCGGGAGGAGACAGAGAGACCCACCACCGTTTTGACGAAGAACAAGTCTGTCCTTTGAATGCAATTATAATTTTCCATAGATCTCCGACAGAGAATCCGACCACTGCATTGGTTTGACGGAGACCCACCTCCATTTTTGGAGAAGAACAGTCTGTCCTATGAATGTCACTGTCTTTTCCATAGATCTCCGACAGAGAATCCGACCAATGAATTGGTTTGGGATTCGCTTTGACTGTTGTTTTGTTAGTTCGGTGCCAATTTCATCATTTCAGATGCCCATCTCCAAAACGCCTGCTAATTTTTGAAACATCGAGTTCTTTTCACATGTTTTGTTCAAGAACTGTCACAGTGATAAAAGGAAACCCTACTAGTCTAAAACAGTTTCCTCCTAATGCTACTTTAATGGAGAAATCACATAAAGTCTGATTCTTTTTTTTTTTTCAAAAGCTAATCACGAATCATCTGTAAATAATTCATCCCTCTGTCCAGACACAAACTTAAGTACAAAAGAAAGGGACACCGTGTTTTGATTCTTCTGAAACAATGGCAACATCATCTACTCCTCTTACACTTGATCAAGAGCATGTTTTAGCAATGGATTACACTTGCACATATATTCATACCCACTCTTAACTCCCTTTTACATCAACAAATAATCGTTTACAATTGTATTTTCTGCACTTAGAAACAAATCTGAAATAACACCTTCAAAGGAGAAACGAACAACAAACAAACGAATAGCACAGCTGCTCTTTATACACTTAAACCAGACAGCTGATTATCCTCCTCCTCGCAAGTCTTGTCTCTCACAAGAGGAAAAGCTTAATCTGCATATAAAGATGGCGGAATCCGATCAATGAACACTTTTCAGACACAACCCACAAGGTTGTTTCTTTTACTTCGTGGCTTCGAAAAGCTGGCTTCCAAGAGTAACGGTTGGTGTGCCTTCTTCACCCATTAATGTTGTTAATCTCACTTCTCTGTCTAGTATCCGTTCCAGTTCTGTCACAACATAGCTCATCCCTGGTCTCTTCCCACTCAACACTTCCAGACATCTCGTTGTTAATACCATCAGCTCTTCCAGTCCTTCTGCTGTGTAACTACCATCCATTCTCTCATCAATCACTGCGGATAGATTCCCGTAATCCACTTTGTTTTGCATCTGCAATGCCAGAAACTTCAGAGCCTTTTGTTAAGTTCATAATTGTCTGACTGCTCAATCAGTCTCATGCTGAGATTCAAGCAATTTACATGACAATGAATGCCAAATGCCAATGGGCCCTATAGCAATTGAGATTTACATACCCATTCGACAAGAGTTTGCGCTGAACTCGAAGGGGGCGGTTCTGATGCTTCTCGTCCGGTCACTAATTCCAAGAGGAATACCCCGAAAGCATAGACATCACTTTTCTCCGAAAATCTCCTGAACTCTTGAACCCTGCAAAAGGGGAATGCTGACTCAACAGAGAAACTGATTCTATGTTTTCCAAGCGAAGGTAGAGCAAAAAAGGTAAAATTACTCTGGGGCAAGGAATATGTCTTCTGCCACCGTTTGAGAGGATGGACCGACATCCTCTCGTCCCAGGACATTACAAAGTCCTGCATCCGCAACCTTGGCAATGTAGTTTTCGTCTACAAGAACATTGGCCGTTTTGAAATCCTTGTGTATTAGTCGAGGACTCAGAGAATGAAGGTGTGCCAGCCCTGAAATTTAAGGACAACGGAGAAAAGGGTACACAGATCAAGGAGCAGCAATTCGACATAGCCAAAAGGCTCAGTGTTCAGCACAATACAACGATGCATGCCACTCTCTGAACCATGTGTCTGAAAAATCACTGATTTTGCACCAAGGTTATAACTTGATTGTTCTATCTTGTCAAAAAAGAAAAACTGATACCAGGAAAGCCACAAATGCTCACTGGTTTTGCATAAGGATCACCTTTAGCGGCCCCGAGAGATATTGTGAGCCGATTTCTGAATTCTAGCTTCTGTCCAGCCACGTTACCACCACCACCTGATAGAAGAAGTCAGATGAGGTGAATGCCATCTCAAAGAGGCTGAGAAGCAAACAGAAAATGAAACTTTGGTGAGGGCAGAGAGTTACCGTACAGGTGACTGGAAACACTTCCATTAGGTACATACTCATAAACGAGAAACTGCATATTGTTTTCCTGACAGTAACCGAGGAGGGCAACAAGATTGCGGTGACGGATGGATGACAGATATCGGACCTGAAAAATCATTTACCAAGACCTTAGTTCAACCCTTCAAAAACTTGATTCTTTGACAACAAAAATAAGGTTTTATAACCTCATTGACGAATTCCTGAGTAGGAGAACCGGGCCGCTTCTTGATGGCCACAAGCATGCCATCCTGAAGCAATCCCTTGTAAGCCTCACCAAATTTGTCTACACCTATGAGACTCTTACTGGTAAAACCCTTGGTGGCCTGAGCCAGCTCTTCCATTTCAAATCTTCTAGCTTCTCCAAGGGATAGCTCCATTGCAACATTCCTGCCTGCTGAAACAGAAGCAAAGACGGATCGGATCAATTTTGATGTCCTAAGGAGATGAACTAAGCATTTAAGATTGATTGATGACCTTGAAGAGAGGGATCAGATGAGGCTGTCCCAGAAGTCCTTGACACACTTCGACGACCAAAGAGGCAAAACCAGAGGAGAAAGATCAATAGAGCCACCAATGCAAGAGCTCCTGCAGCACTTCCAATGGCTGCTGCAAGAATTGACATTCCTCTCTCAGCAACACACCAAGCTACTACCCTGAAATGCAGAAATGGCGGCATGGCTTGATCATAAAGCCATTAAAGAAAAAACAAAAAGAGAGACAAAACGAAAAGCAATCAAAGCTTGTGAGTATACATCTTCATTAAAAGAGGTAAAAGGTGTCAGCTTGTAAATGAATAAGATTCTTCTGCACGAAATGAGTAGACATGCAACAACAGATATGGAATTCATTTATGCAAATCCATTGAAGAATCCACAGACCTTAAAAGTTAAAAGCCAGAGAAATGGCGTCACAAGCAGATCTCCAGAAAGCTCAAGTTCATCTCAGCGAACAAACATGACATAACCGACAATTTCCCACATTTCAGACATTCAAATGGGGAGATTACTCTATTGAGCAGAGGCAAATCAATGGATTATCAGAGGCAAACCCCATAACGAAAAATCTAAGAACACGGAAACGGAAACCCAGAAAGCATCGGAGATGAATGGTCGGAAAGCGGATTCAGACAAGCCCCTGAAGCATCAATCTCCGCCGCACTTTTCTAGAAGAAACTCACCAGAGAGATGGTGAAAGATTCAAGCCATCCGACAATGCCGACAGAAAGTGACTCGCGCAGACAACCCACCAACACTCTCTCTCTCTCTCTTCAGACTTCAAAAGAATATCAAACCCATTATAAGATTTTACTGCAAGCTTCTATTTTTGCGGCATTCCCGTGGCTTGGATTACTCCGAATTGACATTGACAGAGTTTACTCCAGGCCACTCCCCACCATGTTTCTCTTTATGGGCAAGAATAAAGTTTAAACATTTAAAGAACAGAGCAAGTGTGTCACTTCGCCAGATTACAGAACCGCGAAGGGAATCAAAGGAAGGAAGAACAAGAGAGAGAGAGAGACAGAGAGATCAACGTGTAACGTTGTCCCCGCCGCAAGTCCAAGGACGAGAACACACTGGCTTTTCCGGGGTTATTATTACCTTTTCTACGTATCCGGAAACTGTATTCTAATAGTTACAGGCTCCCTCAAAAGGCAATTTAAATAGTGGTTTAAATATATTCGACAAACAGACATTCATAATATATTCTCTAAATATTGTACTAAATATGAATATATTCGCTTTAACAAAGAAAATGGTAGTAGGACATTGTAATGACAGAGACGTGGGATCGGTCTCGCCAGCTGTATCGACATTTGCTTCTGAACGCCATACAGTTTTCGCGTTTTGCGTTCGTAACGGCGTTTGGTTAGTCAACCCCTCGCCTCGCGTTTTGCGTTTGATGCTTGGGCAAGGAATGCATACATGATCATGGCGGCTGAGCATTATCGCTTAACTAAACATGGTTTTTTATGTGTTTCTTTTCTTTTTTGGTGGGGGGTTTAGTCTGAAAAGGGAATTGAAGAAGATGATTCAGATTCACCATGGAAGATCTAAGGATGTCCTCTTCGTCAACATCAACCACAAGAGCACGAATCTTCGGTGCTTAAGGATCTACGTGCAAAATCCTCAGTCGAGAGATTCAGTATCTTTATGAACTTGAATGACTTTTAGCAAAGAACTAGGACTGAGGGAGAGAGAGAGGAATGGTGAGAGAAAAATGTTAAGGGATATACAGATCTTGGAAAATATTTTAATATATATTGTATCTTGAAAATCATGTCAAATCTGGAAATTTAGATGGGTTTACAAATATTTGATTTTGATTTGTAGTTTTCTTACCTAGTTTCAAACTCTGTATAAATGCGTTCTTAGTTCTTTGGTTATGAATAAGACAAGGTTTACTCTGTAAACTTTGTCAGAAAAAACAGTAAATGGGGCCACGAGAAGAGCATCCATGAACACGACCAGCTGAACAAAAACCAAGCAAAATCTGAAACCAGAGGCTTAGGGAGTTGAAGATGTCGGATGAAAGGATCTTTAGCACAGAGAACGAGGACAGACATGGTCGAACGAAGAAGAACAAGACGAAGACCCCAAATCTGGAACAAGTTCCCTTGTCTCATCTTCTTCGTCTTTTCCATTTTTCAGGATAAATCTGCTCGGTCTCTGAGATCATGAACGACCAATCGGAATCTTCCTTGTAGATGCGAACCCCTTGTCTCTGTCGTCATCGCCATCGGAGAAAATCCATTTTCGCGTCACCAAGGGATGAAAAGTCTTAGCCTTTGCGTGTCAATAGTTTTACCCGCCCGCCAAGGTGTGCTTCTTTGGGTGTTCGTCTGAAAAAAAAAAGAAAGAGAAAGAAAAAACAAAAAGGGAAAGGCCCAAAACGTGAGGAGCAGTAAGAGAACATGACAAAGGGCCCAACCACGACCACAGGGATCGCGATTGAATTCAAGTCTGCCGACAGTTGATCGTTCGTTGTCTTCATCGCTCGTCGCCGTTTGGAGCTTTCGGGTATTGCAAAATCAAACTTTTATTTTAAAGCTTTAGAATTTTCAATAGTGGAAAATGGGAAGATCCTGTTTTTCTTCAACTCAACGCCATTTTCTTGGCTAAAGCTCCTTCTCACTTTATTCCCTCTTTTTTTTTCTTCATTTTTGTTTGGAGACCTGTAATCTTCGGCTTCTGGTAGAATCGGTCTGGATCTGAAGCTCCCCTCTCGTCTCTTCACAGGTATGCTCTTGTTTCTTCTCTGGTTTCTCTTCGATTCTTTATTTTTCTGCTGATATCCAGAAACCCCATTTTATCCATTGTTGTTTTTCATCTCAATTGCCCACTTTTGCGGTGATTTTGTTTCTTTTGGTCTCTCTTTCAACAGATTCGTTGATTTTTCAGACCCACGATCCCTTTTTAAGAAAAATTTCTTGTTTTGCATTTGCATTTCTCGGATTACAAATGGGTCTTCGACGTCTTCTCTAAAACTGTGGCCTTTGCTTTTCTTCGGACCATCTGTTAATGGCTGTCTTAGCCATTGTAAGCATTATCATCTCACCAGTTCAAGCTCGTTCTTAGGTATCCGCTTCGAGAGGTCTTGTCTTGGTGCAGATTAGTAGGGGAAAAATCGCATGAGAACCCGTAATTCCTGAAGGTTGCAGCTTTCAGATGCTCCATTGCTGAGCCATTTCATCCTTGAAAGCATGGGAGAGTGGGTCATTGGAGCTTTCATCAATATTTTCGGCAGCGTTGCCATCAATTTTGGCACAAACCTTCTCAAGCTTGGGCATAACGAGGTCCTCATTGTGTTCTTGATACTCTCTAGTACTTTGCATTTACATATTCTGTCTCATATTCATCGTTTCTGTTTGCATATTGTCAGAGAGAAAGGCTGGTTATACAGGAGAATGGTGGAGGAAAGACGCCACTGAAGCCCATTATATACTTTCAGACATGGAGAGTTGGTATGCTCTGGTTTACCCCCAGCTTGTCATGGCCTTTCCTAACATTTCCTTCTCGGGTGTATAAGAAGCTGGTTTTGAGTGCTCTATTCTTGAATTGCAGGGATCCTATTCTTTCTTATTGGGAATTGCCTCAATTTCATTTCTTTTGGTTATGCTGCACAGGTAGAGTGTTATGTTCAAAGCCGCTGGCTTGGCTGATTTCTTTTTCATTTCGCTCTTCGGGTTTCTCATCTTTCTGCATTCTGCTTTGCAGTCACTTCTAGCAGCTCTTGGATCCATTCAGTTTGTGTCCAATATTGCATTTGCCTATTTTGTACTAAACAAAATGGTAACAGTCAAGTACGTCAAAATTCTTTGCTGCAGTTAAATTATTTTTTCATCGTATATGGTCCATTACCATTCTGCATATGCTCCTCTCAATTTCTTTGACATGCCTTGGTTGCAGGATACTTGTTGCTACGGCCTTTATTGTCCTCGGAAACATTTTTCTCGTAGCATTTGGCAATCACCAGTCACCAGGTAAGTTCAAAGAGCAACTGACCTCTAGACATTGCTTCTATTTTTTTCCTTGAAGAGCTTCCCTGATGCCTTTTTTACAAAGCAGAACCAAAATTTTTCACCTCTTTTGTGTTCAGTCTTCACACCTGAGCAGTTGGCAGAGAAATACAGCAATATGACATTCTTGATCTACTGCGTGATTTTGATTCTAATCGTAGCCTTCAACCACTTCGTCTACAGGTGAGATTTCCGGATGTTTGTTTTTTTTACCATAATTAGTCATTTGTTTATCCAACAAGAATTCACCCTTTTACAATGGTTTGTTAATGTGGAATATTCAGGAAGGGAGAATTGTTAATATCTGCACCTGGACAAGAGCTTAGACCCTATTGGCACATGCTGCTTCCTTTCTCATATGCTGTGGTCTCTGGTGCTATTGGATCATGTTCAGTTTTATTTGCAAAGTCACTGTGAGTTTGTGAATTTTCTGGCATTAATCATATTGGCTATTAAGTTATGCAGGTTCATTTGGGTCCTAGTTATAGCTTTCTTCTTCTTCTTGCAGCTCAAACCTTCTGAGATTGGCAATGTCGAGTAGTTATGAGTTGCACAGCTGGTTCACATACTCTATGCTTCTTTTATTTCTTAGTACAGCAGGATTTTGGGTAAACCATAACGAGACTTTTCCTGCCTTTATTGTTTTTTTTTCTTTAGATAATCATATTCCTAATTCAAATGGCTCCGTGCCCTCTGTCTCTTTTGTTTCAGATGACGAGATTGAACGAAGGGTTGTCTCTATTTGATGCGATTCTCATAGTTCCAATGTTTCAGATTGCCTGGACTTTCTTCTCCATCTGTACAGGGTTCATTTACTTTCAGGAATTTCAGGTTTGGTTTCGGCCTTTTCTCGTGTTCTTGATTTGTGCTGTTGGTAATCTTGTAGGCTTATTTCTCTTCTTCATTAAACAGGTATTTGATACGCTAAGAACGACAATGTTCATATTGGGAATGATGTGCGTATTCATAGGCATTTCTTTACTAGCCCCCGATGATACGAGAGGCAATGAGATGAAAGATAATTCAACACTAGTTTCTGTAATTCCGTCAACTGAGGAGGACAGGTACACTTCTGTTCTTGTCAGATGATTGTCTGGATGTGTTTTTGCAAGATTAGCTGAAACCGTTTCATCTTACAAACAGCCTGATACCACCATCTGAAGATGGACATTCCAAAGACACGAGACAAGTTGTACAAGGAGTGTATATGAAAATATCAGATCTAGTTGCTAAAACAAAGGTACCCAACATGTTGGATTCTTTTTCAAAACAATGTCATTGCTGATGAGAAAGATGCCATGAAACTAAATAAGAAGCTTGTTTTTCATGTTGCAGGCTGCTTGTTTAGCTTCATTGGGCTTTGGTGAGGATTCTATCAATGCATCAGCAGTTCTCGTGATGCCAATGGTGTCATCGAAGATAACAGGGTTTAGAGGAAATGGACTCGAACGGGCTAAGATCCTCTCCATGAGAGGAGCTTCAGGCTGGAGCAAAGTATCCATGGACGAAGACGAGACATCTGTCCTCTCACCAAAACCATAGGATAGAATCTCAAGGTGAGAAAAGTTTCCGGGGACAGTTTTCTGCTTCTCTCATATGCATAGTAGATAGTTGTTTTAGGGTTCATCGTCGAAGGAGAATCGTTTGAAAGGGAAACATGGTTGTACATTCTTGCAGGAGGGAAACATGGTTGATTCCGAAGAAGAAACCAGGTATGATTGTGCATATTCTTGCAAGAAGCAAGTGTATTAGTTTTGTAGAAACAGAGCAAATATTGTATATCATGGTTTGAGAGAGAACTCTGAACCAATTTGGAGATCAAGTTGATTCATATTGCTGGAAATCCAACATCTTTCACAGATATAGAATAGCAAGAACACTGCTTGTGTGTGTTTGTGTATATGTATAGTCGCAGAAGGATGAATCAGAACAGAACCCGTTTCTTTATTTAGATATGATTCCACAGAATCAGAGAGCATTGAAGGGGGTTTTGTTTTCTTCTACATGAAACTTGATCTTGGTGCGGTTTTGTGGATCCGAGCAGCAGTGATGTCAGCTCTGGTTTCGGCCAAGAGTTTTCCGGTTTCATGGATATGGTTCTGTAATAGATAGATTATCCCGACACATCCATAAACAGGGTCTTCTGTTCTGCATTGCGCTTCAAAGTGCAAGGAGTCTACTGCTTCTCCTCTTGTCTGAAATGGCAGTTGCTGCTCATATCCACACACAAAAAAAAAACCTGAAAATCTATAACTAAAACCCAGATTGACATACATATATGTACATTATATGTATATATGTATGTATATGCACCATATATACCTGAAGCATCTTGGCGACATTGGCGGCACCATAGATTTTGTGGATAGAGGCGAATTTTTCAGGATCATTTGAAGGGAAATGAGGAGAGAAAATACAGTCTGGAGGGCATCTTCTTCTCAGATACTTGCATGCAGCGCATCTTCTTGTTAGATTCGCCATAGATTTCTCGAGAATATATATATACACACACACACAAAGGGTTTCTATAACTTATGAGAAGGAGAATCTAAGAGGAAGGATTTTGAGGTTTATATTGGTTTAGATCATCTCTCTCTGTTTCCTTTTGTTGAACCAACGGCTAGTTTTCTAAATTTCTAAACTTTAGGAACTCCTTATGGTATGATTGCTTTTCCATCTTGTGATTGAAAATTCATGTTCCATTTCCATACAGATCCAGAGAGAGAGACAGATTCGGTTTCTTTGAGCTATGAAATATTCTTTTTTTAATTAAAAAAAAAGATAAATTCTAATATATCAATATATACAAAAATATATATATAATATTGACTTAGAAAAGAGTCACTCATATATGAAATATTTAAAAAAAAATACAAACTGTAACCTAGTTAAGGATAAAACGGAAGAAAGAATATCATCATTTCCTGCTTATGTCTTGGTTCTATACGCCATTTGAAATGGAATTTTACATACATACATACATACATACATACATACATACATACATACATACATACATACATACATACATACATACATACATACATACATACATACATACATACATACATACATACATACATACATACATACATACATACATACATACATACATACATACATACATACATACATACATACACACACAACACACACACTTACTTTCTTCTCCATATAGGGCTCTT